GCCTTCGTGTGCATGTAAATACACGCATACATACATACAAAAAGAACGCAGCAATCGCGCGTGATTACCCATACAAACGCAACTTACCGTTACTTCATTTAACTCAAGCAAACGATCAGTGTTTGACTTGAGGAAACGAAAACAGAAGCAACTATCTCCCTCACAGCGCGAGAGAGCTAAGCCAAACGCGACAAAAACAGTTTCTGTCTGAGTTTTTTTGACTGTGTCACTGAAARACACTTTTTTGCAGACAACGAAAAAGTGTTAACAGTTATTTGCGAGCTATGTGTTTTATTTATTTATTTAACGATATATTGACGAAGCCTTAGTCAACTTAGGTAAAAACTAAAACTATAATTGTGTAGCTTTGAGCAACTGATATTTCTATTAATATTCGTTTCTTTTCTGCTCACACAGGAAACAGCACATGCACATCACACGCACATACACAGATACACGCAAACGCATGCATTTGTCAAAGCACAAGTCTCTTGTATTTGAAATACGCCTTTTACAAAGGTTATGGTGAGGGAGTGGATATATGGATGGGGTTAATTATAATTAAAACATAGAAATTATATAAAATACGTATGAACCTATATTTATAATTGGCGACTCTAGCTAGGATATAGGACATATAATTTTATAACGAATTTTCGATAAGGCTTTTAATTGATAACAAAACGAGTAAGAAATAAACACGCATGGGCTGCATTGTGAACTTATTATGAGAACTTAATTATCTAATAACTTTTCTTGTGGATATACCATATTTTTTAAACTTTTAGATCGAGATATATATTTCTCTAATATTTGAAATTTGGAGACTCATTTTACTTTACATTTGTTTATTTATTTTTTAGCGATGTGATAGTTGTTTGTTACTTGTGGAATTTAATTCATATATATAAGTGAAAAGTATGAAATTAAAATTCTTTTAGGTGATATCATTGGAATATGAAGCCTATGAGAGCATGGCTTTAAAAGAAATGGGAAAGATCTGCTCTGAGCTAAGAATCCGGTGGCCAACTCTAAAGCATATTGCGATATATCATCGACTCGGAAGCGTTCCTGTAGCTGAAGAAAGTGTAGTGATTGCCGTTTCTGCGCCTCATCGCCCAGCGGCATTGGAATCGATTAGCTTTGCTGTAGACAAGCTGAAGTCGAGTGTGCCTATATGGAAAAAGGAAATATATGAAAATGATCAAATCGGAGAATGGAAAGCAAATATGGAGTGCCCTTGGCCCCGTAAGAAACTATAAACTTTTCAATTGTAATAGATAAAATGATTGTACATAATATACCCCGAAAAGTTAAAAGCGATTTTTGTATTTCCTTATATCTCTTTAAATTTATAACAGAATTTACTGAAACATCTTCAAACGCCTTTGAATATTCTTTATGCAAAATTGAACGCCAGGTAGAAAATATTTCTGAAAGTAAACTTGTGCAAATCAGGGTAAGTGACATTGAGTTGACCAGACGGATAAAATGTTTTTTGAAAAGGAAACGGGATGAAATTAATCTGCACAATATAATAGACTTCAAGCAACAATTGAGAGATAGTCCACGCGCAGAATCGATGCTACCAAAAGATTCATGTGCGCGCACTCAAAGTACCCTTGTAAAGCAACAACAATCAATCAGTCATATAAAGGGTAAGAGTATCTTTATATACATCCGACTCTTGTTATTTCAAACCTGCGATATTTCGAACTTCTCATTAATTCAAAGTAATCACGTCCTCTACTCTCTTATTTCATATTTCAAGTTATGTAAAAAAAAAAACCCATTGCTAAAACGCGGTAATTCGTACTCATATGGTCAAACACTCGACAATTCAAATTTTTTGAAGTTTCTTGGTGTGCTAGCAAGAACTTTGAATTTGAATTTTGGAATCCTCTAAAACTACCTATACTGTACGTGGTTGCGTGTTACGCATCTGCAAAACGAAACTGATATATCAGGAACTATTTCTCCTAAAGAAAATTATTGAAAAGCTTGAGCTATATGCTTCGAAGCAAACTAGTATGAGTTTTTGTTTTTTTTTTTTTTTTTTTCAAAGATTAATTAATTTGAGCATAAGTACATTACGAATATCTAAAATATCAGCAGTTAAAAAAAACCCTTGATAATTTGAAGCTTTATTTATTTTCTCTCAACAATTTTGAACCATTTACTATATTAAACATTCGAAATAACGAGAGTCTACTGATAATAAATATACATATATATTATTTACACCGAAACAAAATTCGCTGAATTTTATTGATTATATTATTGTAGTGCACCGCGCTTTTGAAGATAGGAGACAAACACGGCCTGACTATTCCTCTCAATTAAATAAGCTAATGGCTACAAAACATACACACTGTGAATTGGTTAAAAGCAATGTACTAAAAAATGCGCGCCTTCAAAATATAGAAGAATATATGCGTATTGCTCCGGACGACGAAGACAATATTTATAATCGCATTAAAAATATAGAAAACAGAATTTTAATACTAGAATCTACTTCTCCAGAATATAAATATTATGTGAGTACTTACTTTTTAGTTTTCAGTACAAGTTTTTTAATTTTATTGAATTTTTTTATTTTTTAGATAAAACTTGGAAAGGAGTCAAACAATATAAACAAAAAAGAATCGAAAAAAGGATTGTATCAGTCTGATAGGTTAAGTGAATTTATTTCGGGTATTAAAAGACAATACGAACTGTAACTAGAAAAGAAAAAGTCGTAACAATATCTTCTAAATACAACAAGGAAGAAGTCTCCAGTTGAGAGCCTTCGTTTGTAGATGAACAATCTTAATGAAAGTACTAGGGACTTGAGCTTTAGAATTTACACGTTCTGATCATGTTCTGAAAGTTTCATAAAGATAATCTTATTACAAGAGCAATTGTCTAACAAATAAATTCTCATACTTTTGGCCACACTGCAACCCAAGCTCAGTCGCTGCTAACTGTCCAGTTATAATTAGAATATCAGCTGGCAGGGTTCAGGGTATCTCCTAGTCGAGCACTCGACTAGAGCACGCTTACTTATTTACGTAAAAAAGTACAGTGCTATGTGAGCTAAGCTTACTTATCTTAAAAAATTATCAGGATAATATGAATAAAATATATTTTATGATCACAAATCAAATCTTATTATTATTAATTATTAATTTTTTATTGTTGTGGACCACTTGGTGGATCTCTGCCGAAGTGCCCGCCAAGCTTCAGCTAGGATAACAGAGCACAATCCGAAAATGTGACGTCACAAGAGAGCTGTTAGTTAACATTAAAAGTAACGGGACGGCTCTTTGCGCAACCACTAACCACAGGACACATAGACCGGACACATAGTGGTTATTTGCTCGGCTCCTCATTTTCGGGTTCGGGCTACGAAAATATACGAAAGCACAATTATTTCACTTCATGCACACGACCGTCGACTATTGAACAAAAGATGTCACTATCTAACCCAGGGGCGACGAGCTGAATGAGGTCGGTCGAAATTACATACGAGACTTAAAGTAATGCATTACCTATGAGATTTTTTTTCAGCGCATTTGTAACAAACAAATTGAAAACGACTACTCGTACGAAAGAATCGTGCTGTTGTCAACTTCGTTTTTGTATGCCCCTTCCCCTCTAATCAACAAACGATTTTCGTCTTCGTTTGGTTTTTTTGTCTATGCTATTCCTTTTGTGCGTGGAGTGTTAATGTGGGAAAATACAAGTGCATAATTGTATACATATGTAACACGTCACTTTTCTGATTTTGCTGAGGCGTGCGGACGTAATTTTGAAGGAAAGTATTTCGCAGTGAGTTATAAATATAAATATGCTCTATCTGGTATGTTTGTTATGAAAGTAATGGAGCTTGTAATCGATCTTTTCATTCACATAGGCGACAAGTAATCAATGGAGAAAATAATGGGCATTTCTGCACACAACACAATATACCCGCAACCAATATATATATACATTACTAAATCGTTTCTATATTTCAATTAGTAATTATTTCTGC